AAATTTTATTATAAAATATATATAAATATAATATAATAATAATAATAATAATTACTAGTATTGATCACTCACCAGAATATTGTAATGTAGCTCCTAAAATAGAATCTATTACACTACCAATAAAACCTCCAATTCCTCCAATAATAATAACAGGCCACTGTGATGTTGCTAATTGTAGCACAACTGTATCAACAGTTATCAATACTGTTAAATAATAAGATAAACCTACTATTATACCACCAAGAAAAGACATAAACAGACCTGCCCAGGAAATACCACCATTTGTACCTATACATAAATATATACAATTATAAAATAATTTGATAATTATAAATTTTTGAAAGATAAAATAATATATTTTATACAATAATATTTAGAAACTACTATTTTACACTTAATTACTTAACATTCATCTTTTTTTTTTATAAACTTTCTAATCAGATTTTAATATTTTTACCTCTTGGAACTCTTTTAAGAGTAGTAATAAGAAAAGGATCTTTACTAGCAATAACTGATCCAATTTCTGAAGCCCAAGTATCCCCATTAGAACATGCTATGGCTCCTAATAAATTATAATATTTAAAAATTATAAATTATTTTAAAGATTCTTTATTCTTCAATATATATGTATACCTAAAATTCCTATTGACAACCAAGAACTTCTATAATATTTGTCAAAATCAATTGGTCGTTCCTGACATCCTACATCTAATAAATATAAAAGTGCTAATTGTGTTGCCATGCCACCATTACATAATACATGAACCCAACTTCTTTGTGAACTTTCTTCAAAATGTGCTTCAAGCTTTTTTTTTTCATGAGAGCGGAACTTTGTTGCTTTAGTAGAAGTAACAAAAAATGAAAAGAGACAAGCTACATGAGCAAAACTAGTAAGTGTCAGAATGAAGCCCACAAATAATCCTGAAATATAATATTTCATAACTATATAAAATGTGTAAAAATTTATTAAATAACATTTATAAAATATAATTATAAATTTTTTTTAAATAATATAATGATATTGAAATTTTTTTAAATTTTATATATTCTATTTAATAATGATAAATAATATTTCAGAAAAGTGAATAATTAAATGATAACCTAATAATTTAGATACAATATATTGTTGAGAATATATATATTTCTTTTGCATTCTAATATTCAAGAAATATTTACTTACCTGAAATAGCACCACTAATGTTTAAGCTTTTTTTTTTCCAACCCCAAAATGCCATGAAAATTGGAAACAAGACTGCAATTAACCATCTCCATGGTGAAATAACCAGATATTCTAAAGAAAGGGTTATGTTTTTCAAAACAAAGATATTATACAAAGATAAAAAATAAAAAAATCTTAAATCATGGTCAATTTTATAAAATACCTTCTAAATGATTTTTAGTATCCGAATAAAAAACTGAATAAATTACATTTATCAGCCAAAATAACATAGAAATTGGAATTGCACAAACACTAAGAAGAACCGGTATTAATACATGTGATTTTTGATTCTCCTTATTTGTTAATGAAACCATGATTAAAATTATAACATAAACCAATTTATTATTTATTTAATTATTTCCTGTTAAATAATATGATAATTACATTAAACATAATGTTCGTAACAAATCGTATATATATTTATAACTGATAAAAAGTTCTTTGAAAGGAATGCAGGTTCGATTGGTTGATTTCAATAACAAACATTAAAAAGGTTAGAAATATACGTATTGACAAAAAATATCACATTTATATGTAATATGTATAAAAAAAAATCATATAACATCGGTAAACAAAGGAGGGGATTATTTCTTGTATTGTTCTATAAAACTTTTCGTTACCACATTATAATTTCTTTTTCATTGCGCAAATACTCGTACTCATGGAATATCGACTTATATAGAGATTTACAGGTAAAGTTTAATCATTGAAAAAGTGAAGGGAAAGTGATAACAAAATTAAAGATGAAAGAATAATTTTATATTATATTGTTTAAAAATTATCTTGATAACATAATGTAAATAAAACATTTCTCCCATTTTCATTTCTAATAAGTCTAATAAATTTCATCATTACTATTATTTTTTTTTTGATTCCTCCAATCAAATTATATGTGGCTAGTTTATACAGGATGAAGGATATAATGTCTTTGGATAGATAAAAAAATTACAAATGTTATAAAACTTATTTTAATTTATTTTTATTGTGAAAAATATTGTAATTTCGCAGAAAAAATAAACATTGTATAATTAAAATGATGTAAATTTAATGAAATCGTTGAAAATTACATTGAGATATATACAAAATGAGCTTAATTTAATTGATAATGATAAATGAAATTGAATACGAATAATCGGATGCTGTCATAATCGTGTATACATACTATGTACATGTATGCAACGTAAATGTACTTAGAATTTAAGACATTAACGTAACGAAATCTTATTACTTGTACTTCTTCTGTTTGGAAAGACGTACTGAAGAGTAATAAAATCTTCATGTTACAATTTCGTTGCGATACATATAATTGGAATTAACTATACTAACCATGACGTAAAAACATTTCAATGATTCAGAAAATTCGTTCATGACGGTGATACATTGAAGCACATATAATTGAATAATGAACGGCTTAATAATTGGATCCTATAATATGTATATCCCTATACAAATATTTCTATCGTTTTTACGTATCAATAAACTGTAAATATTAACATGTAACAGTTTTAAACTGTGTTTGTCAGTTGCAAAGTTACAAATTATTTTTTTTTTTTT